CTGCACCCTCCAACCATCACCAGGGCTGGCGGCGGCTGCCCCGAGGGACGCGGCCCTAGGCGGTGGCGATGGGGGCCGCCCGGATCGCACCCGGCCTGGCGCTCCTGCTCTGCTGCCCAGTGCTCAGCTCCGCATATGCGCTGGTAAGTCCCTCTCGGTCTACGCTCAAACCCAGGAATCCTGGAGTTGCTCTGGGGTTCCTGGGGCGAGTGTAGGCACAAAGTCTTGGGTTCTCCCAAATGTCTGAACTTTGGGATGGTGCCCCCGCTCTGAACCAGGAATCCTGGTGCCTGCTCTCGTTGGGGTGTCTTACTGTAGGTTCCAGATGCCTGAAGTTTCCCCACTTCTGAAGACTTGGCTTGGGGTCCTGGGTCTGGAAATCTGTGGTTGGAGTTTCCCTACACCATGCTTGTGTGAGCACACGGCTCTGGTCGTATGTATCTCTTTCGATGGTGACAGCGTGATCCAGCGGGCTCTCTGGGTGTGGAGTCTCACAGACTGCGTTGGGGGCCTCTGCTTTCGCAAGTTTTGTTTGCACCCCGCGCTCAAAGCCGTGTGCAAGAAGTCAGAAAATCACATAGATAGACTGAGGATAGGGTTTAGAACCCCCACCAGCTCTCGAGACCCCACAGATACACAGCTGTATGCACTAATGGGACAGCTTTACCCGAAGTGGAAGTTGTTTGCCCAGGGAGGTGGGTGTGGTATGGAGGTCTCCAGAAGCATCTCCTCACAGTACACCTTGCAGAAGCTATGTACTTTGGGGCGTCTGGAGAGTGAGCTGACTTTTGGGGGTACAGTGCATGGTCTGAGAATGGAGACCAAGAGATAGAATAGTAAAGAGGGCTAGAGACAGAGGGAGACAAAGGGTTAGGATGAGAGCTCCGACCCCCGCAGGGACAGACTCAGAACAGCAAAGACAGAGAGCTGGAGACACTGAGGGAAATCATGACCCCATCTTGGGCTAGGGTCTGGGAGCCATTTCTCAGAGAGGGGAGATTTTCCATCCTCTCGCATCCCATATTCCTGAATCAGCTTTTGTGCCTGACTTTAAGGTCTTGTTGCCCCCGTACCCCAACCCTGACCCAAGTCTAGAGAGACAAGGCAAGCAACTTCCTTCACGGGACAGAGCCTCGAATCTGGGACTCCTCCGCTCAGCCTACAGCTTGTGTGACCTTGGACTGTCTATGAAAAGTGCCTGAGAGAAACGTTTGCTTAACATCCTTGCAGTTTGATGTTCTTCTGTGGTCCCCAGCATTCTGTTTACTAGGGTCCATCCTGTCCAATTCTAGTCCGGTAATGGACTACCAAAGCCAAGGGCTGCCCCAGAAAGGAGCCTGTACACAGGGATACAAGTTCCGAGGGCCTGAGCTTGCTGTTCCAGAGGTGCTCCAAGCATGGGCAGCAGAACTACTTGCCGAATTTTCCTCAGTGACTTCTATGTGGGTACACATACATGTGCAGGGGGGTAGACCGGCGGATGGGAAAGGTATCCTGATGTGTGCCTGTATGTCCATCAACATAGGATTTTGTGGGCATCTGGGTGAGTCCGTGGGATCGTGTGTATTCAGAGTCCACATGTGTCTGAAGCTGTGAATCTGCACACGACTCCAAGGGAAGCAGAGTTGTATATGTGTGTGTGTGCGTGCGTGTGGGCACCCTGTGAGTGTTTGTGTGCGCACAGGTCTATTGTTCGCTTGTTTGTATTTAACAAATGCCTCTGTGTTTTCTGTTTGCCAGTCCATTGTTCTAAGCACTTTACGCACGTCAGCTAATCTTCCCAACAACCCTTTGAGAAAGGTGTTTCCCTAATTTTTGTGAGCTTTGCCCAGACCCACTGTGACCATTGTCTATCTTATGTCAGCTGGGTGCCGACCCCTGCACCTCACTGTGTGGTGGTGGAGTCTATGCAGAGGATTTTCCTGGTTTAGGAGGGTCCTATGCTGAAGACAGGACAGATGCCAGTGTGGCTGTGCAGGGACCTTGCTGGGGCATGTGAGTGCGCTGGACCATCTCCTGCTTCGGGTCTAAGGGGTTGTAGTCCAAGGGACAGGTTTGGCCGACCCACCCACCATCCTGCGGGATCCCTAGGCTCATCTGGAGTCAGCAAACAACTGGCAGCCTGCCCATTCTCTCTCCTGCGTCCAGATGTGTACAGGTATGGACGAAACCCGTCTACTTCAGCTGTCACTAAACCTATAGACTACCTACTCAGCCATATCCAAGGCCAGGCTCACTTCTCCCGTGACCTTGGTTGGGGGACCAAAGAACATCCCACTGGGAGAACACTGATCACAGCTGGACTCAGGGGGTCCATCTGTGCCTCACCGAAAAGGGTAGCCCAGAGATGAGCATTGGAGGAATGAAATTTAGTGGAGGGGATCGGCCCACAGCTTATGAGCAGGCAAGAGAATGGTTTTGTCCTTTGAGATTCCTTACCCTAAGGACACCCTAGAGAACCCTCCACTCTCAGGAATGTGATGGTCAGCAGGGAGGCACACCTGGGTGTGGGCTATGACCCTTGGGTAGGGCGCTTCATCCCTTAGGCTGACTGTGCAGGCAATCTCTTCCAGCCAGCCTGGGGTGGGGGCAGCTCAGAAGGCACTTTTTTTTTTTAACGTTTATTGCTTGTGTGTGTGTTTACGAGTGCTTTGGGGAGTCAGTTCTCGCCTTCCACCGGGTGGGTTCCAGGTAGGTCTCAGGCTCAGATGGTGAGCACTTTATCTGCTAAGTCATCTTGCCAGCCCAAGGTGCTCGCTTTTAAAAATAAGAAAGGCCATTTATTGAGCAGTAACTTTCCATAGAGTCCGAGCTAGAACCTGCCGTATATGTATATATATATATACATACATATATATATATATATTTTCTCACCCCACCCATTGTCCAAGCCATGTTAGGGGGAAATGACCTTGAAGTGAACGTAGTAAGACTGGCAGTACTGGGATCTGAGGCATTTGAACCCAGGACTTAGACATCTACAGCGGACTCTCTCCTCTAAGCTAGGTGAGGGTAAACTCAGGTAAAAGGTCCTTGTGTGTTATTTTGGGATTTTTTTTTAAAAAAATGAAATCTTCATTATCTTACTTTTTGTTTATTTCATGATTAATACAAAAGCACATTGTTTTTGTACTCTCTCTCTCTCTCTCTCTCTCTGTGTGCGCGCGCACGTGTGCACGTGTGCGCGCGCATGCATGTGCTTGTGTGTGGGTCTGAGGACAGCCTGGGTATTGTCCTCACCTCCTATCTTATTTGAGACAAGGTTCTATCTGGCATACCGCTGTGTACACCAGGCGAGCTGTTATCAGGCCTCTGAGGATTCTCTGGCTGGTCTTTATGTGGGTTTAGTCCTCGGTTGAGAGCAGCAAACACCTTCCACAATGAGCCGTCTCTTCAACCCAAGACAAATGGTTCAGAGCAAACAGAAGCTTTCTTTGGGCGCTGTCAAACCCCAGTTCCCTTTCTAGAGAAAGACATTCTGGAAGTCTGGGGATGATCCTCTGTCCCTCTCTGTGCTTCAAGTGGCACCTCTTGTATACATAGCAAGTAGATGGATGTGTCTTGTTTTCCGTTTGTTTTTAAATGAGTCCAGCAATCTTCTCCATGGGGCTGTGTGACACATGCATCATTGTACCTAAAAGTGTAGCTTTATATTTGTGAGTAGAAATCAATTAAAATATATATTTTGTTACACAGAGAAACCCTGCCTTGAAAATATATATGTAATATACATTTTTTTAATTTTAAAAATATATATAATGTTTTAAGTGTTTATATATTCTTGTGTTGATATGAGGTTTTGTGCGTACATGTAGTGCCTGAGGGGAGCCTGTGGGATCCCTTGGAGCTGGGATTACAGGCTGTTTTAAGCTGCCTAAGGTGGGTGCTGAGGACAGAACTTGGGTCCTCTGCCCAAACAGTTTGTGCTCTTAACCACAGAGCCATTTCTACAGCCTCCAAATCCCTTTTTTAAAAAAAATTATCTCATTGTATGCTTACTGTTTTGGCTATGTGTAGTCTGTGTATCGTATGCATGCAGTGCCTGAGGAGGCTAGAAGAGGGTGTCAGAGCCCCTGGAACTGGAATTCCAGGCAGTAATGAACCACCGTATGGGTGCAGGGAATCTAACTTGGGTCCTTCAGAAGAACCCCCAGTGCTTTTAAACACCGAGCCATCTCTCCAAGCCCTTTTTAATCCTGTATAGTATTCCAAAGTATGAACTTAGTTAAACATCCCTGAGGAATACACATTCAGATCCTTTCTCCACAACCTCCCCTGGTGTGAGTGTGAGTGTGTGTGTGTGTGTGTGCGCGCGCACGCGCGAGTGTGAGACATTCCAGATGGTGGCAGAGGAGCTCCTTGAAATGCCCTCTTGGTTCACCATGTGACCATTTCCCGGTAGGATATTTCTAGAATTTGTCTTTGCTGGGTCTGAGAACATGCACATTTTTTATTTTAATAGGCATGGCCAAATTGCCGTCTAAAAAGCTGTGCTGGTTTATACTAACCAGGACTGACCACAGGGGCCCTCTCCCTGTTCGGCTCTGTTTCACAGGATGCAGTGAGGGCCCTTTGGTTTCATCTTAGCATTTTGATAGGTGAAGAGCGGCGTCTCCTGTCGTTTTAATTTACACTCTGCCAGTGATTCTCGGACTTTATATTTATTTATTATCCAACTGAGCTCGCTCAGAGCCATTACCCATCTTTCTATGGGTTATTTATCCTGCTTGTATTGATTTGCCGAAGCTTTTTATATCACCTGCCCTTAAACACATCCTCTTCCCCCACCTCCCAACTCCCAGAACCGCCCGAGGACAGAGCAGTGGAAGGGGGGCACGGGCCCTCCCGGGAACTTGGGTTTTCTTCGGAATGTTTTAATGAGGCGTCAAGCAGCCTCCCCCAGATTCCTGTTGTGGGCCTTCTGGGGACACTCCCTGGTCCAGCTACCACATCAGGAAGGCAGCTATTTCAGAGATCCCAGGAAAAATAAAAGGTATGGTGGGGTTTTTGCAGAACCTTGAAATTGTCTTTAAAGTGACTAAGAGACAGTGCAAAATCTGCTCAGGGTCACAGACATTGGAGACCTCCCAAGCCCTCTAGAACCCCAGCTTGGCGTCAACCTTGTGCCCAAGCGGAGAGCTAG